TGTAGGGTTTTGGGCTTAGGGTTTTGGGTGAAAACACTGAGCCCCTAAACCTTAGATTGAGCACGTTTTTGGAGTTTGAGGTCTTTTGGGCTCGTCTGCCTGCTTTAGTTTGAGGTTTTATTCGGTTTAGGGCCTTCAGGGTTGTGTACATGTTTAGGGTTTAGGGTTTAGGGTTTAGGGTTTAGGGTTTAGGGTTTAGGGTTTAGGGTTTAGGGTAGTTTCGAAGAGTCCTGTGATACATGCATTCTATGAAGCTCGAGAGTATCTTTGTAGCTGGTAGGTGGATTCATTCCATTTTGGGTATTCTCTTTTACCCTACCAGAATCAACAGGTTATGCTCAGAAGCTGGACATGCTGGAAAACCATGAACCTCGACATCACGCAGACCGAAAGCTAAGCTCAAGACGAAGCTCATGAACCCTGAAAGCAAAGCCGTGCCTCCAGAAGCCCTAAACCCCGAAGCTCAAAGTCCCCTAAACCCTAGACCCTAAGCCCTAAACTCTCAACTCTACATCTCTAAATCCCTAAACCCTAAACTCTAAATCCCTAGACCCTCAAGGAGCAAACCCAATAAACAGCCGTCAGCCGAAGAGGTTCCCGCAGCCTACATCTCCCGGCCCTAAGCTAGGTTGGGTTAAGGTTTAGGGTGTCGGGTTTAAGTATCGTTTCGTTTTGGGATAGTTTTTAACTGTCCCCCTTATTGTGTAGCATAGCGCCCTAGTTATAAACAGTTTTTGGGACTGTTGACATCGACACCTAGTAAGCATTTACCTCCGAATCCTAGGCTTAACCCTAAACCCTAAACCCTAAACCCTAAACCCTAATCCTTGAGCCGCAGGACATCTCGGACGGTGTTCTGCACGCCGCCCGGCTTCGATGAGGAAGTGGGTTCCGTGAAGCACCTTGCAGCCCCAGGGTTTAGTAAGGTATGCCCTTGGGTTTTTCTTATATTTTTAAGGTTTAGGGTTCAGGGTTTAGGGTTAAAATTTCTGTACAAGATCCCCTGATCCCCTATTCTAACCATTAAGGCCCTGAGAGTAGGGCTTCACAGCATTGTCTGGGTACCCAACACGCACCATGATCATGGAGGCAGGTGACGAAGAGAAGGATGGAGATGAAATGGACGAGGATCAGTATTAGTTACACGCTGACGATGACGAAGGCTGTTGCGATTAATTATGTTGATGGTGATATGGTGATCGGTATGACGATTGATGATTATGATGATTGTGTTGTGAGGCGGACGGCGGTCATATGGCCATCGTATTTGATGACTGATGACGATGACAAACTGTGGTGACAGCATCGGCTAGCAGAAACGCGCTGAGAATATTGATGATGATTAAGACGATGACGTTGTTGATGGCGGTGATGATGGTGATGATGATGCTGACGTTGATGTTGACGTTGATGGACTTGGTGCTTTGCTTGCAGATGATTAGCATGATGTTGGAGAGTGATGAAACCTCTTGTTGATGATGGGCGGCAACAGTGATGATGATCACCAAGATTACTGCAAGAAGAGCGGCAGCACGACCGTCAACGTTGTTGCACGGCCACCACCACCTGTGCCACCACCACTGCCGCCGCCGCCACCACCACTGCCGCCGCCGCCACCACCACTGCCGCCGCCGCCGCCACCACTGCCGCCGCCGCCGCCTCAAGCATGACGACGCTGGCACCCAACGTCAGCTAAACCAGCAGCACATCGCATGCACGACAATCGTCAGTCTCAGTGACAGGAGCTCACGTACGAAGATATCAGCCAAAGTTACTGAGCGAAGTAGTGCTGGCAGCAAACGCATCGACGATCACACCCAACATGGGGGCAACAATAACGGCATGAGCAATGCTGCCACCTCCGGTCTGAATGAGAAGAAAGAGCTTGTGCTGATCATGGCGGTGGTGATGGTTAACATTGTTAACATATCTCAGAATTTATACACCACGTATGAAATCCTTGTCCATTCATGCATATGCGCACATGCACATATGTACCGACACAGTGCATGATACCCTAAACCCTAAACCCTAAACCCTAAATCCTAAACCCTAAACCCTAAACCCTAAACCCTAAACCCTAAACCCCTAAACCCTAAACCCTAAACCCTTCAGTCTTAGTCTGTACCAGGCCGCCTACGAGGACTGTGGTGTGGGGGATGGCCCTGTCGAGCCGCGACGCTTCCTGGTGGCCGTACATTTTCACGTTTTGGATGTTTTTGGGTTTAGGGTTTAGGGTTTAGGGTTTAGGGGTTTAGGGTTTAGGGTTTAGGGTGGATGTTTTTGGGCATGCTTGCTGACTATCAGTAGTGCCCTTATGCCCTTTTGGTTTGGGGTCTTCCTTTGCAAGACTCGAAGATACGAAGAAGGGGTCACCGCTATGGGGTTCTTGCGTTCGGCTACGCCGGCCGAATCTAGCGTGAACTGGAAGCCAAAAACCTCAAACTCCAATCCTTAAGCTCCAACGCCTAAGCCCTAAACCCTCCCTAAACCCTAAACCCGAAACCTTAAACCCCAAACCCTAGACTCTAAACCCTAAGCCTAAAAAGCCCATAGCTCTTCCCTGAAACCCAGAGGTTCGAGGGTCCATGCACCTACAAAATGAGATAGGAGCCTGAACAATATAGGGGCCTTAATAATTAGAATAGGGTTTGCGCTATATTCTACTATAACTATAATAAGGAACCCCCACAACCCTATTGAAATTTTTAAGGCTCCTACATTAATACCATTCCTTAGGGTTCCTGATCATCAGTATACCGTAGCTAGGTTCCTGAGTAGTACCCTTTTGTCCTTTTCGTGTTGGGGACTCCTGAATAAAACCCAAATACTAGCAAACTGCGTACCCCTATTTAGGGGTCACTCAGGAACCTTGACAATATAATACACACCAAAACCCTAGTCTAATTGCTAAGGCACCTCTTTTACGCCGATTGAAGAAACTTAACCCCTGATACTATTTGGGTGCATGAACGTCATAAACCTTTTGTAAGCCCTAAGCCCTAAACCTTAAACCCTAAACTCTTAAACCCTAAACCCCGAAACCCCAAACCCTCAACCCTAAACCCCTAAACCCTGAACCCTGAACCCTAAACCCCGAAATCCTGAACGCTAAACCCTAGACCCCAGAACCTTAATCATGAAGCACAAGGATTCGTGTCCTGGTACCGCGACCATCTTTTCTCCTTGGGCTGTGAAGGAGGCTGCTCTGGCATTCATTACCGGGATCTCTTAGAGGTTTAGGGTTCGGGGTATAGGGTCTAGATTAAAGGGTTTAGGGTTTGGGGTTTAGGGTAAAGGGTTTAGGGTTTAGGGTTTACGGTATGGGGTTTAGGGTAAAGGGTTTAGGGTTTAGGGTTTAGGGTTTAGGGTTTAAGGTTTAGGGTATAGGGTTTAGGGTTTGGGGTTGAAGGTTTAGGGTATAGGGTTTAGGGTTTAGGTAGGGATCTCCCCATATCCCTTAAGTAGGGAGTCTACCTAAGGTCCAGGGCTTTATGGGCCCTACAGGGACTTTAGGATTCAGTACCCTTTAATTCGTACTTTAAGTTAACCCTAAACCCTAAACCCTAAACCCTAAACCCTAAACCCTAAACCCTAAACCCTAAACCTATGACTCAAGGAGTATTCCTCAAATATGCATGATGCGGGCTCAGGTGTCTTGTGGGGTCTCGGTCTGCAAGGACTGGGGTTCGAACTCGTGAATCCACCCCGGCCTACCCTGCAATCACAAACCTTAAATGCAATATGGGAGGTCTTTGCCTAAGTCTGAGAGCCTTGTTAATTTAATGAACAGTATTGAACTTTGCAGACCCCGCTACAGCCTTATGAACCCTACAGTTCTCCAGGGTAGTTGTCAGAATCATGGTGCTATTAGCGAACCGCATATAATTCTACTCTTACTACAGCACCTCGCCCAAAAAGGGACCCCAGTTTTGACAAGAACCCATAGAAGGAAGGGCTCAAGCTGGAACATCCGGGCTTCAGGGCTGAGACCCTCCCTGTTCATTCTGGTTGTCCGTATGATAATTGAGCATAAAGGTATAGGGCATTGTTATGAAGTGGTTGCATGGGAACCTCGTGTCCCATGCCACAGAACCCTTCAGCACCCCCTTGTCAACAAACCAGCCAAAAAAGCAGCGAACTGAACACAATTTAAAGCAAGCTCAGCATCCACCCTCTAAGACCTTAAGCAACCGCATTTAGTCGCAAAGCTAGGTAGCCGCTTGACACTGGACCTGGCGAAGAAGCACCATTGCTCTTGCATGGACCTTGACAGCTCCCTGCCTCCACTCTGGCATTGAGTTAGTACAGGGGCCTGAATATGTAGTAATACTATACCTTTGGGTTCCTTGTTCTATATGCAATATGGTATACCCCCAAGCCCTATTCGAACTGTTAGAGCCCCTATACTGGGGCCCCATAACGGTTTCTATACCGGTTCAGTAAGGGGTTCCACACGGGATTGAAAGTCCCAAATCCAACACCAAGGGTTCTACGACCAGAAGCGTTTCCAACCAAAGCTTCAACAGCTTCCTTCCTTTTCATGGGGTAAGAAGTTGCCACGCCGGAAGACGGCTTTCTCCGAAAGGTTTCGTCCCCAAACCCGTGGCTTCGCCCACCTATTTGTTCTTTCCGTCCCCGCAGCTCCGCACCTCTGCCAAAGCCAAGCCAAGCCGTGCGGAACATGTCTATAACCCCCCCCCCCCCCCAGTTCCAAACAACTGATCCTTGAAGGGAGCCGCCCGCTCCCCCCAACCCCGCCACCCTCGTTGAAGCCCAGCCAAGCCAAGCCGAGCCAAATCAGCTGTAATGTTGCTCCGGCTTATGCTCGGGGCCGTCGCTGCTCCACAAGCCCAGACAATGTGCCCGGAAGACTGTATACTGACAAGCGAGTAGTTGTTCCTTGCCTTCCACCAGCGCGGCTCCGCAGACATAGAAAACACCCCGTAGCCAGCCCAAAACCCAAAACCCTAAAT